AGATCATGTAGATCTTTTTCCGCCTTAATAAGCCTGCTCCATCTCTGCCTGTCTTGTTTTATTTATTTCCAGGTATATGCTCTCTGCTCTATTAAATTTTAGTGGATTCTATTTATCCATCTGTTTTTGGCCTACCACATTGTCTTTTGCCTTCTATTGTGGCATTCATTGTTACTTAAAATTTTCCTGATAGATTGATGCAAGCTACATGCCTTGCCCTTCTTAACCTCTATGGCTTCATATCATGGGATGTTGATTGACCAGTATCTGTAAGCACTTCTTTATTGGTCCTTCTTCTGCACTTGTTAGTAATCTGATCCCAGATAGCTGTGGCTATCGTACGAAGGATTTTTCCATCAAATATTTTTAGATTTTACAAAATATAGACATAAAGATGAACCTGCATAGCATAAATTATAATGTTATATACAAAAGCGTAATAATATATGAAATAGTAAATGAAAATTTCAGATATTTATTAACCTAAAGATAAGTAAATTAAAAACATAAAAACTCAGGCATACCTTTATACAATCAGGCAGGGAACCTCAAGCCAGGCTTGTCCCTCCAACTATAGAGGGAAAAGCAGGACTCCAAGAAATCCCTGCGTAATTCTCTTACCCTTATCACTAGTGCTAAAGTCATTGGAGATTGAGCGAGAGCGCTTTAGCCACATACAATCATGTCTTGCGTGGAGAATCTAGCCATTGCCAGAACTCCAAAATAAATACTACAAAAGATCTCTGGTTCATTGCCGCTTCAACCTTCGAGGAGGATTGTAGGGATGAGTGGAGCTAGGTAGGGATTTGCAAGGGGATTTGGATGATTTGTAAGCTTCTGATGGAATTTGGAAACATTTTCAGGGATAAGATCTAGAACAAAGGGGATATTAAGGTCATGATATAGGGTTTTGTTGGTTAAATAGAACGGAGCATCGACTATTGTTCTGAGGACTTTGGATTGAAAGGATTGGATGCGGTTAATGTTAGAATATTTAGATGTCTCCCAAAGTTCAAGTCCGTAGATCCAAAGAGGTTTCGAGATTGTCTTATATATTAGTAATTTGTTGTCAATTGAAAGATGAGATTTTCTAGTCAGTAGTCTGTATAATTGGCCTTATATTCTGTTAAGTTCTTGTATTTTAAGTCTAGTATGTGGGTTCCACGTTAGTATTCAGTCTAAGAGAAAGCTAAGATACCGGACTGTGTCTGAAAAAGGAAGCTGGATGGAATTTAAGTGGAGTGGTGGACTGCAACGTAGCGTGTTTGCATTTGGATTCGTTTACTTTGATGCGCCATTTATTTCACCATTGCTCAATCAGACCGAGATATTAACAATAATAAAAAAATCTATTTTAGGGTTTCCAAAAAATAAAAGAGAAGATCTCTAGCAAAGTTTTGGTGAAACGTCTATATTTGGTTATGAAAGATTTGCTAATGGTACTAGATTGGTAATTCCGATGCTCCATAATAGAATTATTAAGCCCCATTAAAAAATAATATATATATAAAATAACCAGGTCTGATTGTTACCCCACTTATGTAGAAGGTGAACCTTTTCATTCAACTGGCAGCCAATGTAGGTAGTGATCGATATCGAGTATAGAATCTCGATATTAGAAAAAAAAGTAGTCGATCTCTTGCAAGGTTCCGGAAGCTCTTTAGCTTCATTAACTTTCGTATTTAGACTAGCCGAAGGGAATAGTGGGGAGAGGTCACTGTTTATTAGACTTAATCCGATCGAATATAAACACAGGTGTATTGTTACGTAGTTTTTTTTTGTTGTTTTCCTGTTGGCATTAAATACCATGTACAGTTAGTGAAAAGTCTGGGTACAGTTATTTCCAAAAGGAATATTAATGTTTCTTCGTCCAATGAAAATATTTGGACTTTATAATGAAAATATTTTTTTTAAATCTATTTGGAATGAGTAGTTAAAGCAGTTTCCACTAACAAAAATTTTACTTAATACCTAGTTTTGATATTATAGTAAATAATGAGCAAAATGAGGTCAAAAAAAGTCTGTGTACACGATTTATAAACCGAAAAACATAAAAAAAAAAAGTGACAATCCCTTAACTGAAGTTCTTATGATTCATGAGTTATAGATAGGCAGATAGAAAATAAACTTTATTCTAGGACGAGGTCCCTTATGAATATCAATCATGAATAAAAAAATAAAAACCACATCTGGCCAAAAATTACATTAATCAACATTAAATAATATATATAGTATCTTCAGTGAAAGTATATTAAAACAAATAAAAAAAAAAAATTTTGAAAAAAAAACATTATTTAAATGAAACGATAAATAGAAATCAAAACAAAATAATATAACCATGGGTTGATTTTTAAAATTAAAACTCGAACAATTTCAACAACTATTTACCTCAGTCAAAATTTATTTCATTACAAAACGTCATTTTAAGATGTGAGAAGGGATTGGTAGAGATGATATTTGAATGAGGATAGGGAAGAGGCATGGCGGATATCAGATGGCAAGAAATTCCAAAAGGCAGTGGATCGGGCAATAAAGGAATATTCAAATGTCTTAGTTCTATAAGAAGGGATATAAAGGTCGGAAACACGGGATCTTGTTTTCTGGTAGTGGACCACTGGTTTGAACTGTAGGAGACTGTAGATGTAGGAAGTATGTCGGGTGTTGATCGTTTGTAATAGGAAAGATCCTAGGAAATATTGTCTGCGAAAAGAATGGAAGAGCTACTTTAACTCATCGTAAAGGAATTCATGAGTCACTTCAATCTATCCTCGAGTACCATCGGGATGCCTCCGTACACGTCACAGCCGTTGTCAAAGTGGGGGAAAATAACAGAGGATAGAAGGAAGGAGCTTGCGTTATACCAGTATTTGATTACTTACTGACATTAAAGGAATTGGATTTAATAGTATTTGTTCTCATTATGGAGATATCTATTGAAATACGAATATTGGTTGTTAATTTAAGGAAAGAAGGAAATCACTGAGATAAATTGGCAAAATAATTTTCAAGCATCGTTCCACGATCCAGAAAATCATCAGCAGGTTTGAAGAGACAAAACAATTTTAAAGTTGACCGCGAGCTTCCGTTCGAAAAAAATTGCAAAGGATCCATGAACGAGAAATTATGAAAAATATTCATGAAGCCAAAAAACGAATGCCGCTTCCATTGCAGGTATGGTTAAAAATGATTATGACACTACATTTACATCACAGACGATGCGAAACGTTTTAAAAATGCAAAGTAAACGTTTATCATTAGAAAAAGAGAATCTGAATGAGCCTAGTAATTTCTGGGAAGTTTTTTCAACGACAAATGTAAATTTACCTTATTTTTATCATAAGAAAAAGTTCGGGTGTGGTGGAAACCCAATGAAGCGTTAGCAGCTAAAAACTTCAGTCCCACGGTCAAGCAAGGAGGCGGAATTATGGTTTGGGACTGTATGAGTGCTTCTGGCATGGAGAAACTTAAAACAATTGCAATGAATATTGAGTCATCAGTTATATTTCAACAAGACAATGACCAGAAGCTACAAGCGCAGAAAGTTGAAGAATGGCTAATCCATAATGCCCTAAGACAATTAGAAACTTCATACCAATCATGGAACCTGAACCCAATCGAACTTTATGGGACGAACTAAAGTAAAGATTGAAAAAAAGTAAGATTAAAAACAAATCACAATTTAAGGAAGCATTGATGTATGAATGGTTGGTAATTGAGCCTGAAGTCACTAAAAAATGGTTTCGTTGATGAATAACCGTTTTTCTTTTTTTCTCCCCTTCCTCGCCTTTAAGGCTGTACGGCCTTTAAGGCTAGTCCATCTCTTTGTCGTAAGCCTTTTCGAACTTTGGTGGCATCAGATACTTCTCCTTGTATTAAAATTCTACATTTGGGGCCATTTTTTACACGCCTTTGTCAATCTCACTAACTTACCAGGAATTCCCAGTTCAGTCATGATTTTCCAAATACAGCTCCTGTCCACAGAATCATAGGCTGCTTTGAAATCGACCAATAGAGCATAGACGTCCTTAGCTACTTCCTATCTTATTTGAGTACATGTTTCAGGATGAACATTTGGTCTAGCGTGCTCCTCCTTTTTTTGAATCCAGATTGGTGGTCGCCTATTATATTCTCGTAATACGAATATATCCGGTTTAGTAGGATATTGGTCATTATCTTATCGGAAGGAGTGCTATGCCTCTATAATTACTATACTCATACATGGAGCCTTTCTTTAGGATAGCACAGATTAGGTCCGTATTCCAAACCTAGTATTCTTTCCTCTTCCCATATTTTCTGGATTAGTTAATGTAGCTTGTCTCTTAAGTCGTCTATTCCATATTTATACAGTTTTGATTTCTGTATATATACCTATAACAATATATATGGCTTTTCAATCCCTTCTAGGACAAGGTTCCCAGGGTAGTCCATGTCTTCTCCATTCGTAGGGTCCCTTTGATTGAGAAGTTTCTGGAAATTTTCTTTCCAGATGTTCTATATATTTTCTTCAGATGTAGTCAGAATGCCATATTTTATTGTTACGTATAACTAAAATAAATAAATACTCTCAATTCAGTTTAAATGAATTTCAAAATTTATTATAATTAATGAGTTATTGAAGGAAGTTAGTCAACTGTTCTACATATCATAGGTGATAAATAGTCAGGATGTAATAATTTTTAAGGTTTTTTATTTCTGCCGAAGTTTCAACCCAAGCATGTGGATCATCATCAGGATGTGTTTCGAGCACTGGATGTATTCAAGTACTGTCAGCAGTACTTGAATACCTTCAGTGCCTGTAGTACGCCCTGATGATGACCCACATAATAGTCGATTGATTAGATTGAAATGTCGGCACTAATAAAAAACCCTTAAAAATGACTATTTATGCTTCCTGACTATTTATTACCTTTTCTATTTAATATGAAGACAAAATTAATTTTTTTCCATAATATAGACTATTCTGAGTCTATAAAAACAAATAGAATGAACAGTAACCTTAATTAAATATTCCTCAATATCTTATATAATTTTACCTTCACGTCATGGATTAAAGCTTGAGTCGCTTTGCTAATCAAAGGATTGAGATAAATCAGCATTTCTTGACCAACCGTGTCACCGGTCTCCTTGAATTTGCTGAAGACTTGGTACTTTTCTTCGAGGCTGCTGAAGACTAAGAGGATGTTCAACGGGACCACAGGACCCTCCTTCTTGACGAAATGGGCCAGCCAGGACAGAGCTCTGGTCACGTCTTGTCTCCTGAACAAGAAGTCCTCTCGAAACCATACTGCGATAGAGGACGACTGCAGCTGAGGCAGCTGAGGGATGAGCGGCAAGAGGCTGAAGACAGCAGGAGCATCGCCGATCAGGAAGCTGCGGAAGAGAGTCAAGATGAAGGCCTGGGCGCTGTTGAGTTCCAAACTGCTGAGTGGATCGGGAAACACCGAGAACCTCGCAGTGTAGAGGACTGCGGTGTTCAGTCTGTGGCTCAGACCGAGCGTGTACAGCTTGGCCAGTCTAGCGGTCCACGTTTCTGCCTTAATGCCTTCCATTTCCAACACGTGCTGTCATTACTAGAAAACAATATTTTTAAAAATTAATAAAAAAAAAAACTAAGGTGTGTGGTTTAGACAACACGGTAGAAGTAAAAACATCAACAAGCCGAAATTAATAAAATAAAATATAAATTATAGGTAATAGCTCATTATAAAGATGATGAAATGCTCAACATTTCTCTTGCTTACAGTATTCAGGTCCGATTTTTAGTTTATGAGATATTTTAATCCGTATCTTCCATAAAATTCGTTATCAATTGGATTTCGCCATTATTTTTCCCTTATTGCCTCCCTAACATGGCGTTGCATTAAGATGCAATTTTGAATATGCAATCAAAAAATGTTAGGAAAATTTTAATTTTTTTAATTTGTATATCTGAGTTTAGAGATGTAAAAAACAAAATTGGTAACGCAGATCACCAAAGGAATACTTTTTACAGCCAAAAAATACAAATTATTTCGATATTTTTTGTTTTTTTCACATAACTCCTAAACGATGTATCAAATTGAAAAATGTATTCTTTAGTAAATTAAAGAACGTTAAATTGTGCGTCTAACAAGTACACAAACTTTATAATTTGGTTTCGTGGCAAGGTATAAAACCACGGCCAACCAACGCTGATTTTTACCAAATTTGTCAAAAACTGAGAATTATTACTATAAATGGCCCTGTAACTTGGAAATGAGTTCCCTAAGAGGAAAAACCCATAGAATCAACGTTGTAGAGCATCAAATTTTGCGTCAACTGAGTACTGACATTTTTACTGTAGGCCAATTACAAATCTCGAATCGGGATTCGTTTACTAAAATCATTTGCTGCTAAGAGGTGGAAAAGAGGCTTATACTGCATGTAAAAGACTCTAAACAAAAATAACTCAGTAGGATAGATACCCATACTGTTGAAATATTGAAAATCACGTTTACCTTCATTACCAATTTCTAACCATCAGGAGATTACCAATTTTTTTCGCAGTAAGTGACCTACATTAAATTTGTTTGTTTGTTTGTTGTTGTTAAATTAGTTGGTAGTCATGAGACGCAAAATTTGATGCTCTATAACTTAGATTCTATAACTCTCAGGAAACTCATTTCCAAGTTACAGGGCCATTTATAGTAATAAGTCTCAGGTTTTGACAAATTTGGTAAAAATCAGCGTTGGTTGACAGTGGTTTTATACCTTACCGCGTTACCAAATTTTAAAGTTTATGTACTCGTTTGACGAAAAATTTTACGTTCTATAATTTATTTTAAAATATTTATGATGTTAGATTGGTTTATTTTTATTTAGTTTAATATCTTTCAGTTTATATACAATTTATTTTAGTGTTATTATATTGCCGTTTATTATTTTTATTTATTATACGGTATGAATGAGGTACTCTATATCACTATTACTATTGTCCTCGAATGTGACAGATTGTAATATCTCAATAAAGAAGTTTAAAAAAAAAAATTTATTAAAGAATACGTTTTTCGCTTTGATGCATCGTTTAGGAGCTATAGGTGAAAAAAACAAAAAATATCGAAAAAATCTAAGTTTTTTGGCTGTGCAATGCTTTTCCTTGGTGGGCCGCGTTAGCAATTTTATTTATTACATATCTAAACCCATATATACAAGTTAAAAAAATAAAAACTTTTCTCAATACATTTCTCATTCGATCCTCAAATTATTGGCCTAGTATTCTTTAAATCAGCTGCCATTTTTGAAAGCAGCGGCTCTGGAACGGCAGCCAATGTTCCTTTTACTCAGAATAATCATACACTTTCGTAATTTACAATCAAACCTTCGCCTGCGATCAGGTGGATTTTTGGGTCCTGGCTCCAGGGCCATGATCCATAGTTCATTCGACTGCATTCCCAAAGAGGAATTTTCTGCTTTAAAATAGTCTATATTTTATTTTATGGTAACGATTATTGGTTTTTGTGTTCTGTGTTCATTTTTTACCAATAAATTTAATACGTTTAATTTGTAATATATTGTATATATTGTAAATGTATTGAAAAAGGTTATACACCTGAGGCAATTGTAAATATTATATTTTTGAAAATATGAAATAATAAATCGATTATGAAAAAAAAAAAACATTATGTGTAATCAAATAAAACTTTGAGATACCTTTAATAAAGGAGAATAACATGAGCTATCAGCTGATCATACACAGAATAACACTTCACCAGGTTTATTTATTTATTATTTGTCATTGGCTTTTAAAGAGTTTACAAAACTCGATAACATATCTGATTTGTATTGTCATGAGAACTAAATGGAATATTCATTTCGAAAGTGTTGCACAAATACGGCCAAATTGCTTTTTTGTTCACCTGCCAATCAGTTTTCATGTAAATTCTGAAGAGAGGCTATAATAGCCGATATGCAAAATAAACTAGTAAAATTCGATTAATAAAATAAAATATGTTGAAATTCAAAGATTAATAAATGAGAAAACAGGGTGGGAAGAAGAATTCCGTAGATAGAAACGATGAACTTTTCAAATCAGATAATGTCTTAATCTGTTCTTAAACCCATAGTAAATCTCTTCGGGATAATCTGCTAATCATTTACTTCAAAACTTACAAATATATTACAGATTCAACATGCATATTAAGTTAAATATGATATAAAAAAAAAAAATTATACAAAATACAATATTAGGCATGACATTTAAAAAAAAAATATATGTTTATGTTTACTTTTTTTCAAGGACGACCACACAATAATCCATCAAATTAAAAAATACACATGGCTTTAAAAACCGGAGCACCTTAAATTTTGTCGTTATTTCTTTTCCAATAGAAATAAAATTGCAATTTTTTTAAATCTAAGTATAGTGCGACATATTCTGTTTATAGAAAACCACAAACTAGAGACACACTGATATGAGTTCCACATTTTATTTTTATATTTATATCGTCAATCCTAGAGAGAATCATGAAATTTTCTCAAAAAGATTAATGCATGGTGATTTCCTTTGACCTGGCATATACCTGTTACTGTTCCAAGCTCAAAAATATTTCTTTAGCATGTGATTTTTATATAAAATTTAAGGTGCGCCGTTTTTTTTTACAACCATTTTAGTTATTTTGAATAATTTTTCGTCAAATTAATTCGAACACCGCAAAATGAAAATGTTTGAATAAAATATGTCAGATACCTTTTTTCATGTTCAATCGACTATTAATCATGTATATTCATATTGTTAAAACTTTTTGAATTTCAAATACACAATAACTTATAAGACGTTGGTCATAAGCAAGAAATGGAGCACTTTATTTTAACCTTTAGTACAGTTGTAAGAATTAAGCGTTGTTATAATTAATAGGAAATTTGGTAATTTGCAAATTACTTATATAAATTACAAGATGGACAATCAGAGACAACATACATACAACATACAACCATGTTTAATTATTAATTTCACATAATTTTTAAACGAAAAACTTCTTTGTTTACAAGTCTTGAATAAATGAAAATTTTAATCTTCTATATATTTCATAATAAATAAATATTTACTTACGATAACATGTGGCGTAGGTTTTTTTTTAATAAATAATATATTACTCCGCACGAAACCAATAGAAGCTACACCAATCACTAAATGAATTGTGTCATTGGAACAGCGATAAAAATAGAATGCAATCTAATCTTCCCTCTCAAGCTCGTTCGACAGGTGGGTTATGAATTAGTTCTATTTTATGGCACTGAAAAACATCTGACATAGAAAATAGTTAACAAGGAATCGTACGCGAGTTTAGCGTTCCAAGGAGGAATTTATAGAACTAAAATATTCTTGAGCTGGGATATTTAGACAGGTGGTGGGCAAAATTATTAATTCTGAATAGCAGTACAATAGTTTCTGCTATTTTCAGTTTATGTTGGAGTAGTTTTATAATTAAAATTTTCAAACATTGGCTTGAAAAAAAAAAACTCCCTTACGATCTTTTTCTTAACTATTTTCGTATTCGTAATTTATTTATTGAATGCTTTAGTATTTTTTTTATTTATTTACTTGCCACTCTCTCTTGTCTAGTGGGCTATACAGGTGTTTGTAGTAATGGTATGTTATGTTTGCCTGCGTAACAATACACTGCTGCTACTGAAATAGTTTACAAGTTTTATCTTCGGTGACTTCCGATCAAGGGTGCCCATCTTCCTGGGGTCGGTCTTCTTGGTGTTGATGTGGCCACACTGCCTCCTTCCAGCCATTAATTAATGAATTCTATGAAACGTGGGAAGTTCCTCTAACTTACCAATCGAGGAAGCTCATCCTCCGTTAAGACGTAAATTCCTGGATGCTTTTGTATTAGAAACTGAAGAGTATTTTTTGTCTTTTTTGGTTTATAATATTTTATATTGTTAAAATACGCTTGAATGCACAACCGTAGACTAAGAAACTTAGTAATTAGCCCAAGACCATTCATGGGTTGTAATGATACAGTGTTTTTTTATTGTTAATCTATATAAATAAAATAAAGGTTTTATCTGTACATTGAATAAAATCAACCCGTTCCGTGATATGTTTCCGTTTCATACATTACAGACACCAAATCCACTTTTAAAAAAATCTGGTACGCGCAACACACAACTTTCACTTACCGATCTACTATGAATAGAAATTATTTTCTGGCAATGCTGGGCTATTATACATTTTTTTGAAGTGCATTTTAAACGGAGCTAAAGCTTAAAACTTACAGATAACAAGTCATTAAGACCATTATAATTACAAAATGTCTATTTAATATATCGACGACAGGCAATAAAAATCTTGTCACTCCATCTGCTTTTATAAACCACACAACTTTCTTTGCTTTTATAAACTTCAGAATGACTAACTCCAATTTCAATATTTTTAAGTGGCATTTTAGTGATATTTATAGTTGAAAAAGTTATCTAGGCAGAATATGAGTAAGTTGATTCCGGAGATGGTGATTGTAGTGTTGAAATATAGAACTGAGAATAAAGGTATACATTTAGGTACTTATTTCTTATGAAAAATGTTCTTAGGAAAAATACTTTAAGGTTTTTTTAGTCTTAACAATTAAAAAAGTTTATTTTAAATTCATCAAAATTTTCGCCTCTTCAGGGAAAAAAACTAGAGACCATATCTTTCCTCCTAGTTGTCCGATCTTAACAATCTTTTTTTTTTTTTTTTTTTAGTAAGTTTCATTAACTTTTAAAAAACCACAAACTATAAAAAAGTGTTTGCTTTTTGAGTTATTCAGAATTTAATTTTACCATCCCTCGTAATTTTTTTCCCAGCTTCTTTTTTTGTTAGTATGCTATATAGATAAATTTAAAGGGTGTCGAGAAAATGACTTTAGCGAAGGTTCATTGAAATCGGTACATTCGTTTAGGCGCTACAGTCTATAGCAACGCAGGTTTTCTGCATTTTTTTTTTCTCCTTTATTAACTTATCAAATTCTTTCAAAAGTTATATTTAGCATTTTTTCATGACTTTGAATAATGTGAAATGATTAACTTTTTAAAATAAACCATATTAAAGGTACTTTAGAGGAAGACGTATATGAACATTGGGCATTTAACCCCTGTAAAGTGACATCAATGGGGATAAGATCTAATTGATATTAAAGACCACTTAATTGTACAATGATACACCGAGTTTAATCAAAATCGTTGAAGCTGTTTTTGAGAAAATTGTGAAAATGTGTTTCGGCGTTGATATAAAGTTGCACTTCCGGTTAGTCGGTTTAAAGGAAAAAGTTGCAGTCACATCTAAGGTATATACATATCTTATATCAGGCATATACGTAATATCAGTTTCGTAGGACTTTTCGTTTTTGAGCTAGACTGCTAACATACAAACACACAGACACACAGACCATTTTTCGGGACTTGGTCATTTCGACTCAGGGTACCTCAAAACGTGTATTTCGGTTGAAAACTCAGATTCAAAAATTTTCTCGATCGCAATACTTACCCTTACTATATTTTACATATATACGTAAGTGAAAGTAAAAATTGCTGTCAGTCTGGATGTCCACATTGTCCAATGGAAGTTCGTCAGGGGTATACTCAGCAATGGTTAATGGTAGACTTTTGAAATTTTGACATTATATTTAGCTGTGCTTGACTTAAAACATAGGCTTTAAATGAAAACAAAATATTGAGTAGAACCGAATTTATGAATTCTTGAGTAATTTGTCTAGAGATCCCGGTTAGGCAGTTATTTACTTCGATTCCCATCCCAACCTACTCTACTGTGAACCACATTTAAAAGTTGTATTATTCAACTGATGGAAAAAATTATCACCACTCAACGAGAAAAATCCGGAATACCAAACATCTGTAACGCGTTGTCGCATAAAACGGGTAAAACAGAATAATTTGTTTACTTTGTCCGATCTTTCCGTTTAATGTGTGATTCGATTCAACTTCCGGAGCCTAACAAATGTTGTCGTATACATTTTTAGGATTAATCAAACGGATTAGCCGGAAATCGGGGAGGGAGAGATTCCAAACATGTCACCCCTCCTGTCACAATATTCAGATCATGTTCTAATTTTACACGGATGTAGGTGACTCAATGTCCAATGTTATTTTGGTTATTTTGCCAGCGATAAATTCAGCAGAGTTTAAAGAAGTGGAGAGACTTCAATTCTTTTCACTAGCGGATCCAGGATTTTATTTTTTTGGGGGGGGGGAGCTTCAGCACGAAAGATTTTTTTCCATAAAAATGACGATAATTATTTTAGAAAAAAAGAAATAAACTAACTATCTATATGAAATGGTGTTTAAGTGATTCCTTAAGTCCTTTTAAATGTAATTACACGAACAATAATACTTTAAGAGATAAGTTTTTAATACATTTTTACATAAAACATGGTTATTATTTTACTATTTTGTGGGGGGCGTAAACTTTTCAGCCCGAAATCTCCCCCCCCCCCACCCGTATATCCGCCCGTGACTCTCTTGATTATTTCAATCGACTCCACAATCGATCGGTGGTGATCGGTTTAGTTGTGTGGCACCTAAGCAAATAGCCCAATAACAAAGATTTTATTATTACTATTGGGAAACGTTGACTTCCATAAGCCCCGCCATAAAAAAATTAAAAAACAACTCCCCTCCTCCCACCAACAGAAAAAATAAATGAGTGAACAAATGAAGAAAGTTTAAGCTAAAAGGAAATCAAAGAAATAATGATATACTACAGTCCTTTATCATGAAAGAGGAAGTTAATGGTATCAACGTAACTTATAAATTGTACACAGTAAAGAATTGAAAAAATAACTTTTTTAAAAACAAATGTTACAATAAATAAATGATTTTCTTATAACCTCATCTCCTATCATAAGTGATTAATCACATACAAAAGAATGCCTGAAAATCCAATTTTCCTTTTTCTAAGTGAGGGTTGATATGTAATGGAATTATTTAATCAATTTAGGTAAATGATAAATTTAAGATAGGGCTATTCCCCAACAAGAAATAATGAATTTGAAAAAAACCTCTTTTGAATAGAAATTATTTTCTGGCAATGTTTGTCTGTTATAACATTTTTGTAGTGCATTTTAAACGGAGCTAAAGCTTAAAGCTAACCGGTAACACATCATTAAGACCAGTAAGATTACAAAAAATCTATTTATTACATCTGCTTTTATAAACCACACAACTTCAGTCTCTGGGTCTTTCAGTTGACAGAATGACTAAATACAATTTCAACATTTTTGAGTAAAGTCATTTTAGTGATATTTCTAGTTTGAAAAGTTGAAGTATCTATACAGACAGTGAGTAAATTGATTCCAGAGTAGGTGATTGCAGTGTTGAAATATAGAACTGTGAATAAAGGTATAAATTTTGCCACTAGAAACATCACTAAAATTAATAATAAAAAATATTGAAATTGGAGTTAGTCATTCTGTCAACTGAAAGGCTCATATTTGCTTAGAGAGATTTGAAAGTACATCTGAATATTTAACAAGAGTGATAAATATACAGGACACAGTCTTTTTTTAAAAAAGTACTCGAACACCCTCTGTGCTCAAACCACGCCCTGAAGATGATCCACATGTTTGGGTTGAAACGTTGTCACAAATAAAAAATTAGTTTTTTTTTTTTTTTAAATAATGCGTCCTGAATATTTATCACCCATGATATGTAGAACAATCAGCTAGCTTCCTTCAATAATTCCTGAATTATATTTAACCTATAAATTATTATAGATTGTAGGACTATTAGTTATTAAACTGTTATTTTCCATTGTAAAGTTTACTAAAATGATAAAAATTACAAGATTTTCATTGCCTGCTATGGATAGGCCAAAAGTTGTCACACTTATTGTAAGTGGATAATGTTGGGATTTCACAAAGGAAAAATTCATTAAATTATTCTCTAATTTAATTTTCTAAAAGGTTATTTGATGATTGTTTGGAATAAACGTCCAATAGATACCTAATTATTTAAATATAATATCATATTTCATTGCCTTGATTAGGTGGATTTTAAATACTTTTTTATTTTGCTTAAAAAAAAATTTTTAAGTTTACATTTAGTAAGAAAATTTCATTTACTTTCCTTGGAAACATGTGATTTAGGTTAAATAATGTTAGTTTTCTGAAGCTATTATTGATATTTTTTTGCCACTCTCCATTATCTTCTACAACTTTATTTATTTGATGTAATTTTTTTTTAATTCTCCATTTTCCAATGATATATTATACGTTTACATTCTGACTGTTATTTCCGGAGATTCATTTTCAACATGGATATGCAATTTTTCTTTTTTTTCTCCAGTATCCCATTATCATATTCTTTCAAACTTCACATTTCACTATTTTGTCAATAAAAGAGAGTTAATTTTTTTAAATAATCCATATTAAAGCTACTTTAGAGGAAGATGTATAGGAACATTGGGCATTTAAGCTTTGTAAAGTTACATCAATGTGGATAAGACCTAAATGATATTAAAGACCAGTTAATTATACAATAATACACCGAGTTTAATCAAAATCGTTTTGGGGAAAATTGTAAAAACGTGTATCACCGTTGATATAAAGTGTCACTTCCGGTTAGCTAATTTTAACCAAAAAGTTGCTGCCACGTCGGAACTATATTAAAACCTTAAATACGCAATCTAAGTTTCCTACGACTTTTCGTTTTTGAGCTAGGTTGTTCACATACACACATACACACAGACCATTTTGCAGGACTTGGTTATTTGGACTTAGGGGACCTCAGAACGTGTATTTCCGTTGTAAACTCAGATTTGAAAATTTTCACGATCGCAATACTTTCCCTTACTTTATATTACATATAGTGAGTGAAAGCAAAAAAATTAAATGTGATCCAAGATATGTATATCATAAATTGTATTTGATTAGAGCGACCAGACATTCAATACCATATGAGAAACAATAAACTATGGAAAGAATAAAAATCCTTAAAAATAAATAAATACTTTGGTTCATTTAAAATAACAAAAACCTACTGATAACAGAGTATAATTTAATAAAAAAGTCTTTTTATAGTAACAGATCTATTATTATGTATTATATTTTTCGAAGAATTCCTCATTCTGCAAGAAGCTCTTGAATTTCTTGTAGGGTCTTTCCGGTTGTGTCTGGTACAATGAACATGGCTACTGTTGTAGCCACAAATAATATTGCTGCAAACCTGTTGAAACAAAAAAAAAATTCACTGAGCTAATTGAGTACAATATTTATTTATAAAGATGAGACTTCGTCTCTTGTTTGTAATTATAAACCATATCTCAGTAATAATTTCATAATATCATATATTATGGTTCTATATAGTATAGGAATATAGTGGAAGTGGAAGTGGCCAACAAATGAATAAAAAAATTATACCATATATATTGTACATTACAGCTCTAATTACTAATAGTTAACGTTACTATGGGGGAGTGGGGTAGCTCAGTGGTAGGGTACTGAGCTTCCAATGCTAAAGGTCCCAGGTTTGAATCCCGGCTCATGGCAGAAAAATTATTTATTCTGTTTCGTTGGTCGTGGGGCGACCCTGGATAGGTAGACCCTCCTGGGGCGTACTTAGCCTCTATAAAGTGGGTACCCTTAATTAAAATAATTGGTTAAGGGAAAAATCTGGCATTTTAGCGTGATCTCGGTCAAATCACCTCCTTTCACAACTGTAGATCAAGAAACAGTGCTTTCCCTAAATAGTACTGAACCCAAGACCCTTCATGGGCTGTAGTGGTACAGGTTTTTTTTTTTTTTTACCTTTACTATAAATATAGACTTTTTAGCGGTGTGAATTAAAAGAAAAATGATAGAATTGAAATATTTACAGGCAAAGCCGTGGATATTATTAAACATATTATTTTAAAAATAAAATTAATTATTTACCCAAAGAAGTCAGTAGAGTATCCATAATTTGTTGATATTGTGGGAAAGACTGCTAAATAAAGGAATCCGATGAGAGAGCTGATGCAGCCGCATATTCCTGTGCAAACTCCTTTTACTGACAGCGGCAGAATTTCGGCTACAATTGGCCATGACAAGGGTGCGACACCTAAAGAAAGAGTTAAATGATTATTCGCACTATTATAATAATAGATCATAAAAATAAGAAACAATACAATAAATGGTTTGGATAGGAATTGTTTTTTTGAAATTTCTTTATTGAGATATATTACAATCTTTCACATTCAAGGACAATAGTAATAGTGATAAAGAGTAGGTCATTCATACTGGATAGGAATTAAAATTAAAATAAAAAAAAGAAATTTTTAAATCTGATATTAAATGTTTCGTTGTGATAATGGGATAATATTTTATAAATAGGCTATAAATTTATATTTATGATTCAATTTGATGGTATCATAAGTTATGGCAACTATTGTTCAAGAAAATGTTTTGAATACAAAAAATAAAAATAATAAATAAAAAAGGGCATTATGATAATATTGATTGTAAAATCTACAGTAAAATACAAAGGTGATACCTGAAGACCAGAATAAAATCTATTTGATTGAAACTGTTATTATATTGACTACTATCATATAATAATAATAATAATATGATAATAACAAGTATGACGGATTCCAGAATGCACCACCTGACTGCATCTATGGCAAGGCTTTACCTGCCAAGAAAGGAAGGAGGGAGAGGTCTTACAAATATTGAAGAGTCTTGTCGAAGTCAAGAAAAGAACCTAAGGGAGTACTTTAAACAAAGCGCAGTGCCGTGCCATAAGATAATCTGCAATCTCGATCGCGGGCACACTGCTCTACAATTAGCCTCTCATGAAACTGCGCCAATCTTTATTACCGAAAAAGACCGCCTGGAAGAATGGAAGTCAAAAGCATTACATGGAAGGTTTTTTCACCAGCTTCAGCAGACTAAAATAGATAAATCTTTGTCTGTTAGCTGGCTGGTAGGAGGAAGTCTGTTCCCCGAGACTGAAGGTTTTTTAACTGCAATCCAGGACCAGGTTATAGCTACCAGATCCTACTGGCGACACGTCTTGAAGCAACAGAACGTATTGGACAAATATAGGCTCTGTGCAAGCACATATGAATCCATTCAACACATAACTGGAGGCTGCGGAGCTCTTGCAGGTACAGAATACCTAAAAAGACATGACGATGTTGCCAAAGTCTATCACCAGGCGATTGGTCTAAAAATTAAATTATTAAATGACTCGATGCCCTACTATAAATATTGCCCTAAAGGTATTTGCCAGAAAGATGGCTTAAAATTATATTGGAATCAATCGTTTATAACAGACCATCTCGTGATCCACAACAGACCTGATATTGTGTTGATTGACGGCAATAGTAAGGTGGCTGAAATTATAGATATTGCTGTGCCAAATGACGGAAACATTAACTAAGTCTGTGCAGAAAAAATTCAAGTATCAAGGTCTAGCAGCTGAGTTAAAAAGTTTGTATAAACTTAAGAAAGGAACCGTTAGGGGCATTGTGATCTCCAGCAATGGTCTGATACCGGTAAGCTACTAACAGGCTGGGCCCCCCAACTCATGTAATAAATGAAGCTCAGAAAGCCGTGCTGCTGAATACTGCCAGAATTGTAAGAAGCTTTCTCAACATTCAATAGTAATTAAAATTGAACATACCTGAAGTGGTTGGAGTTGATTCTCCCCCTCTCAAGTAAACAAAAAAAAACCTTTTGTAAAAGTGTTGACAAATAAAATAATAATAATAAGAATCCAGAACCAATTAACTCCATGCGCAATGTCAAGATGTTCTGGGATCAACCGATCCTGACGGATCACACCATCCCCCACAGTAGACCAGACATTCTTATAATAGATAAAGGTAAGCAATCTGCGTTTATCATAGAGATTGGAGTTAATTCTGATGATAACCTACTCAAGGTAGTAGCGGAAAAAAAGAGAAAGTACGTAGAATTGGCTGAAGAGATCAAACAATTATATCATTTAAAGGAAACCCGAATTCTGCCAATTGTAATCTCGTGCAACGGACTGATACCGGAAGAAACTGTATCTTCTCTGCGACAACTAGAACTACCATCTCAGACGATCGAAAGAATGCAACAAGCGGTGTTGTTGGGAACAGCAAATATAGTCAGGAAGTTCACAAATATTAAATAATTATGAAAATATACACATGTAATTTTTGGCTGACCTAATAGGTCTCCAACTATTAGATATAAACACCATTGTATATGTGGAAAATAAAGAGATATAATAATAATAATAAGATAAGACTACTTCAGATTCTCAGAAGTCATCTAAATGACAAAAACTAAATCCATGGCATTAATACCAAACAGTTTTGTTGTAATAAAATGGTCAGTTACTAAACTTCAAGAAATGGACCGCCTGGTGCGTACAATGATGACAGATGGTAAGATTCATCACCCAAAGGCATCCATGGCAAGGCTCTATTTGCCAACAAAAGAAGCCTTATATTAATTGGAGACTCTTGCCGAAAACAATGAAACTCACTAAAGGAATATTTTATTATAAACAGTCTCCCACTATCACCTGGATGAAAGAAATCGATGAAGGTTAAACTGCCCAAAATTTTGGCGATCCAATTCGACCGGAAGTGAGAAATGTTGACTGTTACAAAACCATATGGAAGTAAAAAGAATTGCATGGCAGATTTTACCACCAATTACATGATCCGGAGATTGACAGTGAGCTCTCAATTGAGTGGTTAAAGACAGGACAAATATATGGTGAGGCAGAAGGGTTTTTTATAGCTATTCAGGATCAGATTATCGCAACCAGGGCCTACAGAAAACATATATTAAAAGAAAATCTGGCCACGGATAAGTGTCAGCTTTGCTCGAGGATGCATTAGTCTAGCCAACATGTTACCAATGGCTGTGATACTCTGGTAGGAACGGAATACCTCATGAGGCATAATAATGTCTCAAAAACTGAAAAAATTAGAAAATACCAAAAACTTGCTTTCGAGTTAAAAACACTATATCACTTGGAATAAGTGAAGTTCACTCCAATAATCATATCTTTTAATGGATTAATATTGAAAATCACAGTAGAGGGTACCCAACAACTTGGACTTGATTTGTCGCATTTAAAAGCAGTCCTGCTCGATACATGCAGGATTGTCAGAAAATTTCTTAATAAGTATTTTTTTTATTTTTACGTTCATCTAATACTCCCTTGAATGTTTTCCCGGGATGTGGATGTTATTCTAGAAATCTGAGAAACCCGAGACAATAAAAAATAATAAACTATAATAAAAAATATTTTTTTATTGCATACCAAGATGACTGAATAGAGACATCAGAACCAGGAACAGTACAGAGATATAACTGTAATCATACATATCAACACCACCACTATTGATCAAGTAAAAGTACAGACCTAGCAGAGCCTAAAAACAAAAAAACAAAACATTTATTATAAATAATAGTTTACATTCATTATAAATCAGCTGAGCAAGTGTGTCAGCTGGTCTATATAAATATATAAGCTAAACCTAATATTATTAGAAATAATTATTTCATAAACCAATAAATAAATGATTCTATGATTGAATATATAACATATATCGGTTAGTATACTGTTAAAAAAATAATTAAAAAGCTAATAAAGCTTAAATATAATGATCTAGATATTAATAAACAATATATTGGTTCATTTAATATTTTTGGCTTCATGTCAAATGGTAAAAGAGAATGAAACTTTATTGAGTTCATCCTTTTTTTTTCTTTTTCAATATTCTCAATATGTTGAATATGATGTTTCTAATAAAGTTGAAGGTATTGCATAAACAGTAATTTTCATTGAGTCATTTTTTTTTTCAATATTCCCATAACGTTTTCCCCATGTTTAACAGGAAGACATACATGAAGCAAGATGTATAAAGTAACTATATAAATTCAACTAACTGTTCTCTCACAGGATTATTGTAGGAGGAAAGGATTTTCAATATTTGACTTGGTAATGTTTGGTAGCTTGATTAGTAATTAAATAAAAAATATTCTGTTGAATAAATTATAATTACCAATGAGATACTGGTCCCATATCCTGACACTATGTAAGCAGTTTTTATTCCAAACAGCTTGTTGACCAATAATACTGGCAGCAGTAAAAATGCCATTCCAACAAATAAATAGATAACCGGCACATAGTGGGCAGGAAAGTTTAGATTGGCATGCTCGAAAATAATCTGGTTGTAGGCACCTATTGGGTTTCCTCCTGTGAATTGTTGCATTCCCACAAGAAAAATGCCTAGACCTAAAGCCTTCAAAGCAACTGGCTGTCTGATGCCTACAAGAAAACTGACAGAGTTATCTTTTTCCAACATGATTGCTCTCTGGAAAAAAAAAGATGTTATAAAATTAAAAATAAGACCTAATATTATTAATAATATTAAGTGTCCAAGAGACAGATTGTTGTAATACTCAATAAAGAAAAAAAATATATATATTATTAATTTTCTGGTTGTTGTTACTAACTTCAATTTGAGCAAGTTCTTCTTCTAGCTTTTCGTGAGTCTTGTAGCCCCTTATCTTTTGAAGAGCCTCTTCAGCCTCTTTCCTTTTTCCTTTTTTACAATAATAGTATGGTGACTCAGGGACAAAGTAAAAGAACAGCACAAACATGGCAGCGATTCCAATACCGTACAAAGCGAGACTGGTATAAGTGACATATGGTCCGAATCCGTACATGACAAGATTTCCTAAGCCCAAAAACAGAAGAGCTGTTGATGCAAGGCGACCTCGAATCTCGGGCTGTAACAATTTAATTCTTTATTTAGTACAAAATTAATTTTATTATTATTACTAATATCAATATAATATTTTTTTCAATGTTCTTTTCTATTAATTAATTAGATAGAAAAAACTATGTCAGTTTGTAATTGGATAATTGCAAAACAAGCATTATAACAATTCATCAATCATCAGGAGTGTTTTTAAAATTAAATCATCTTAATGTATTGAAGATCTGATTATAATAATAGCTAATCATGAGCCACTTCTTATTGACAGTGTAACAGAGAGTAATCATAGCGAGTACATGTTAATTTTGATCTTACTGGCCTCCAGAGATTTTTGGAATATGTAATCAAATTCTACAAAATTTATTTGTAGGTGCTTATGTATTATCTTGAAGGCTTCAAAATATTATGATTTAAAGGAAGCTTTCAATAACACACCTTCACTCTTAAATCAGCTGTTACCTCTGTTACCCTTCTTATTTCTCTATTTTCCTTGTTGTGAGGTTTCATCTAAAAAGAATATATATTTCTCATTTAATGTACACTTCTGGATAACTACTGTTTATGATTACTGTAATTTATTTATCTTTTATATAGTTATTAATTGTATCAAAATCCATCTTATATTCATTATTTTTTATTTATTATCTTATTGTTATAATACTCAATATATTCTATGTTGTTAGAATAGAATATTGTATTATAGAATATTATAATCTATTGTATGTTATTTTTTTCTATATTTATATTAGTACATTACTATTCATATTACTCTATTCTAATAATAGTGGACAGTTGTTGACTGCAGAAGATAATATTGAAGAGAAGTCAGTTAGAGTTTTCAATCAATGAAAATACAAAGGACAAATAAATAAATTAAGTATATCTTTATTTCCTTTGAACTGTTTCAGCCTAAGTTTCAGGCCTTCATCAGGACTAAGCAAAGATAAGATAATATGTAAATAGTAGACAGTAATAGTAATAATAATTTAATTTAATTATAATAAAATAATTTACTTCCATATTATTACTCTATCTACAATTTCCTCAATATTTCCATGTTGCCTTGTCTTTGCTTAAATAAAGGACTGAAACATTGGTAAAAGGAAAAAAAAAATCAGTTTATTTATTTTTAACCAATTTCTCTTGAATATAATAATAATAATAATGTACAATGGAATATCAGCTAAACTTATTCACTTTAAAAAATTCCAATTAAAAAAAAAGATACTCTAAAAGATAGAATAAATGTTAGAGATCATTATCGAGAATATTATATTCAATACTAGTTACTTTTATTGTTAAATTGCCTTAGAATTCTATTCTAATAGAACATTATTTCTATGTTTGTATCATACACATAACATTCATCCTATGATGGGATATGTTATAAAAGTAATACTCATATAACTCTCATATATCTACCTCCTCCTCCTTAGAAAAATAATTACTCTCCACTTCTTAAAAATGGTGAAAATAATTATAATTATAATTATAAGAGTATAATTATAATTTTTTTTCATTTATTCCTTGGTTTAGAGTTCTCTTCAATTGAAATATCAAGAAAATATCAGTACACTGTAAATATTTTCTATTTCTATTTTCTATTTCTGTAAATATACTTCCCTTAGAAATATTTATGGCACTATTTGTTTCATGAAACTTCCTTCTGAGGACTCCTTAATTACTGTGCAGCAGCTGAGTACAACTAAATTAGTGATCATATGCCTGTTCTATATATTTTATTATCTAATAATATATATGTTCTATATATATTATTATCTCTTGATTATGTAGGCCATGAAACAGTATTTTCTTACAAAGTACTGAGCCCAAGACCACTTAGGACTTTTAGTGGCACAGATTTTTTTTCTTGATTAATTAGTTATGTTACATTACTATAAATATTTTTTTTAATCAATAGTTTTAATAATCTCAATTATTGATGATATATCATCCTTCTCAAGCTATCACTTCCTTAATTTAAGATAACTATTTGTATTAACTTTCATTTTTTTAGAAAAACTAAAATACCAAAATTATATTAGGATCAAATCTGCTCATACATCCATTAATGATACTTACATTTATAGTAGACATTGTTGAAAAATTCATGCCAATATAAATCTAATACAAATAATGCAAATGATTTATTTGCTAAATTACTTCTCACCTGACAGATAAGCGGTATTTTCACAGCTTTTTTCACTACAAAAGTAAGAGATTTATAAATTCAGCAGTTATTCCATTGATGAATCCCATCAATCTATAAAATCCTCAGCATCAATGTACAGCGATTTTCCAGGGCTTAAGGTACGTTTACACATTGCATGAACTATGGAGAACATGAATGTGTAAATGAGATGTACCTATAAGGTAGGTTTTTTGTACTGTGAATGATCTTTTTGTTCTCCATTATTCTTCCCAACTTCCTAACAGTCTGGCCCATGGGCTTAAAAAGTTTGGAGACTAATGATGGGGTGTGACAGAGATTTTCCGTCACAGCGCCGACAGTGCCAGCTCTTAGAAAATCGCAGTGATTTATAACTACAGTGATTTTTTTCTGTCACTGTGATCACCAGCTTTGGTCCAGTCACTATGGCATAATCACAGCTCTGCCTATATAGCCCTGGAGCCAGGGCCCAAAAATTGACCTGATCGCAGGCAAATGTTTGATTGTAAATTGTATGTTATTCTGAGTAAAAATAAGCTTGTATGCCGTTCCAGAGCCGCTTCTTTCAAAATGGCGGCTAATTTAAAGAATATTAGGCCAATAATTTGAGGATCGAAACAGGAAATTCATTGCGAAAAATGTGAGAAAAGTTTTTATTTTTTTGACTTGTAAAAAAACAAAATTTCTAACGCGAGCCAAGGGAAAACTTTTTACAGCCAAAAAAATCAGATTTTATCGATATTTTTTGGGTTTTTCACCTATAACTCCTAAACTATGCATCAAAGGGAAAATGCATTCTTTGATAAATTAAAGAACGTTAAATGTTGCGTCAAACGAGTACATAAACTTTAAAATTTGGTTACACGGTAAGGTATATAACCACGGTCAGCCAACACTAATTTTTACCAAATTTATCTAAACTGAGATAAATTACTATAAATGGCACTGTAACTTGGAAATGAGTTCCCAAAGAGGAAAAACCCATAGAATCAAAGTTGTAGAGCATCAAATTTTGCGTCAACGAATTTAATGTAGGTCGCTTACTGCGAACAAAATCGGTAATCACCCGGTGCTTAGAAATTGGTAATGAAGGTAAACCTGATTTTGAATATTTCAACAGTAAGGGTGTCTATTCTACTGAGTTAGTTTTGTTTAGAGTCTGTTACATGCAGTATAAGAATCTTTTCCACCTCTCAACAGCAACGAATTTTGGTAAACGATGTATCGAAAGATACCGAATTTTATAAAAGAATAACGAATCCCGATTCGATATATATATATAGATGGCTTACGATAAAAATGTCAATACTCATTAGACGCGAAATTTGATGCTCTACGACTTTGATTCTATGGATGTTTCCTCTTAGGGAACTCATTTCCAAGTTACAGGTCCATTTATAGTCATTTGTCTCAGTTTTGACAAATTTGGTAAAAATCAGTGTTGCTTGACCTTGGTTTTATACCTTACCGCGTTACCAAATTTTAAAGTTTATGTACTCGTTGACGCAAAATTTAACATTCTTTAATTTATTAAAGAATACATTTTTCCCTTTGATGCATCGTTTAGGAGTTATAGGAATAACCCAAAAAATATCGAAAAAATCTGACTTTTTTGGCTGTAAAAATTTTTCCCTTAGTGGCTCGCGTTAGCAATTTTGTTTTTTACATGTCTAAACCCATATACACAAGTTAAAAAAATTAAATCTTTTCTCACATTTTTCGCAATGAATTTCCCGTTTCGATCCTCAAATTATTGGCCTAATATTCTTTAAATCAGCCGCCATTTTTTAAAGCAGCGACTCTGGAACGGCAGACAAGGTTCTTTTTATTCAGAATAACATACACTTTCGTAATTTACAATCAATCCTTTTCCTGCGATCAGGACCCTGGCTACAGGGCTAATATGGCCCCATCATTATTGGAAACTCCTGTTCAAGATAATTAATGGGAGTTTGAGTTATCAAGTGTCGCTTTTTCGCAATTGTTACTCTTTGTGTAGCTTGAGTGACGTGTTTAATGATTCTGAGTACGATTTAAATGAATTGTATTTATCGCCCATCTTATTCATCGAATTTTATGCCTTCTATAAATTTCTTTACTTCATTTGGTTTATTTTTAAAATTACAATAGGTTAAGGCAAATGCGATTCCCAATGTCCGCCATTTTAGTTTCTCTTGAATTACAAAAACCCAGATACATGTATTATTTGTTTTCACCTGGTGAAACATGTTAACCTGGTTTTAAAGAATACCTGCTGGATTCCAGCGTAGAGTTGAAAATCCTGGAAGATAACAAATCCCTAAATAATAATAAATAAAAATTAGGAAATAGCTACCTACTGAATAGTTTAATTAGGAAACAGAAATAAATATAGATAGAAAGTAAATTGAATTTAGGTAAATATATAAAGCAGATTAAGAAATAAAAATAGGCTATTATGAGGTTATATTCAGCTGACTGATCAATCTCAATTGCCGATCGAACAGCTGAACTATCGGTGATTTAATCAATGAATAACGGTTTGCACTTAATTTGATCGGTGGTTTCCATCAATGAGTACAAGAAAGGTTTTATAGATTTCCGAATTTATAGATGGGCTAAGCGCTGAGTTTAAAAACTTGTTCTAACAACGAATTAAAAGTATTTGCATTTCAAACAGGCTTTCGGGCTGAAGCTCCCACAAAACGGTAAAATATAACCATGTTTTATAGAAAAAAAATATTAAGACCATCTCTTAAATTATTATTGTTCGTGTAATTACATTTAATAGGACTTCGAGAATCACTTAAACACCATTTCATGTAGGGAGTTAATTTCTTTCTTTTTAAAAAATTAATTATTGTATATATGAAAAAAAAATCTTTCGGGCTGAGTCCCTCAAAATTAAATCCTGGATCCGCTATTGCAAACAGGCAAAACCCACTATAGTGTGATCTTTATGCAGCAACTGACTAGGGTTTATGACAAACTAATAGATCTTATGTTTTATTATAATCTTTAAGAATCAGTCATAGGACAAAAATTCTTAGAGAGAACCCCAATTACACATTCATGTTTTCCATAATTTGTGAAATGTCCAAACCTACCTTAGACTCAGGATAAATCGCTGAAAATCGGATGGAATCACCGCTGAATTTAGACATTTGCCCTTATTACCAGATTACCATCAGCCAAATGAAAAAAAAATATGAAAGTACTTTTTTTTCCCCGGAAATAATTTATCATATAAATCTTGTATTAGATTTATATTATGATGAATTTCCTCCGAAAAATTCTACTGTAAAGCAAAGTTATGTACCGTAAGATGGTGTAACTTTGGAACTGGGTGGTTAACTTTATTATAGCGAGTAAAATTTAGTTAGTGCTGATTCCGTGGATGGATTTATTTTGGTTTCTTGATGAAAATGGAAGCAAAAACTAATCTTTTCCTCAAGTTAAGGCAGTGATAACTTGAGAGGTATAATATATAATTAATAATTGTATCATTAGGGCTGTAATTGACGAAAAATTATATTTATACTAATATAACATAACTAATTAATCAATAGGCAGCAAGTAATATAATATATGTTTTATGCCATTGAATATGGGTTCTCTAATGGAACAGAATCTAGACTCACTAATTCGGTTGCACTCTACAGCTGAACAATAATTTATGGATGCTCAGAAGGAGGTTAATTTCAAAATTTCTAAGGAGACGGGCCATATTTTTACGAGATTATCGATTTTACAGGAGGAAACTATATGATGTGATGGTTACGATTATTACGATGTTACGATTATTAATAGTTATTTTTACTCATGATAATTACAATAGCAACTTCTGCGATGTAAACCGGTAGACCAGCACAAGCGCCTCCGACACCAAGCCCTCCGATCAACCTCGCGATGTAGATGACGTACAGGTTCTGAGAGCTGACCATGATTGTCCAGGATGATAGAAACGCAGCCCAGAGTACGTAGATCACTCCTTTCCTGCCGATGGTGTCCAAGCCAAAGGTTATGACGAAAGGTCCAGGAGCAGCTCCGAGGGAATACAGAGATCCGACAAGACTTTGCTCATGAGTGGTCAGGTTGAGTTTCGGGAGGATGGGAGAAGACCAACTCATTACTGCTCCAGTAGAAATGTGTAGGATGTTTACTGAAACAAGAAAAATTAAGAATGAAAAAAATATTCGACAATAATTTACCAAATATGTACAATAGGAGTGTTCTTCTTGTGATAATCTATTATAATTACAAGGACGAATGAGTGGTACATCAGAATTTTTAGGCAACTTTTTGCATTTCAAACTATTAAGTATGGTTTCAAATAGAATAAATATATAGTGGAGTATTTTAATAAAGAGTTTGTTGATGGGAGAGAGAGAGAAAAGGAGAGGACACTTGCTCGTCTTCAGTGTGTTATTTTCAACAAACATAACAAAGAGTCACTCCAATTTGAGAAATTAATAAATTTACAACCAGGGATTGAAGGCGGAGCATTAATGTCAGAGTTAGAACCCTCCCGGGGAACCGTGACGCGAACTCGTAATTATTACCTTTTTTTTTTCGTTTTTCCTTTTCTCGGCTTTTAGGCTATACGGAGTTTTACCGGACCAGGGGATAAGGGCGGAGAATTAATTAAAGAGTAAAAAACCCCACTAACACTGGGAAGTAGTGTTAGAAAATAAGAACTTTTACTTATTTTATTCCGTTAACTTCGGTTATTAGGTTGCCGGGCAGCGCACGGTGCTATGCATACTAGGCCACTCTGTCCCTCCAACCTGATTAACTGAATATACTTTGATAAAATAATTACGAGTTCGCATCACAGTACCGGAGGGCTTTTTATATTGGTCTTAATTCGACTTCCCTGAACCGTGAAAAACCTCGTATAGCCTAGAAGAACAGGAAGTAGAGAAATAAAACAGTGAATTTCTGAGGTCGCAATGATTGAATGTCCTTCTTTTTTTTTTTTTTGGCTCCCTCTTTCTCGTCTTTTAGGCTATACGGGGTATTTATCAAACCGGGGAAAGGGCGGGGCGAGTTATGCCGAGTTAAAATTTCCACTGGGCACCAGAATTTGAATTCGTTATTTTTCAGTTTGTCATTAGGTTACCAAGGTAACGCACGTTTTGACACACTAAATACCCCGCACCAGATAGAGTGTTAAAAGTGTAAACTTTAACATATTTGAGTCTATGAACTGAGGTTCGAAATCGGTCTGGCGTGTTGAAATTTATTTTGTGAAAAGACCCATGGAATGAATCGCGATCTTCTCACTTTGGTTAGAATAGATTTGGTTGTACCTCTAGAACAAGCCACTCCTCCGTAGGGCCAGGAATGGCGAGATATGAGTTAATCGAACAAAACAAAAAAAAACCAGTAAATTGTTGAAAACAAATTGATAAATCGCTAAATTAATGAACAAAAAGAAGAAGATAGAATGAGAAAAAGAATAAAAATATTTCAATACTTTGTATTCCCGTTATCTTTGTTTTCTTCGGGTTTAGTTTTTCTTGTTTTTAATTTTTTTTATCTTAATTATTTTTAATTTAATTATCTATCTACTTCATCCTTGCTCCTTACTCGTTTTTGGTTCAATATTTCATTTGCTGGATTTACTGTTTTCTTTATTTTTATTTGTATCTCTCTCTATCTATCCATTTATCTGTCTCGTATTCTTTTGCTTCTTCGCTACCGAAGGTAGGGAAGCATTGTATTTTTTTTTTCATTAATCTTTCCTGAGTGTTTTTTAAATGTGTTTACTTCTGTATATTCAATTTTCACGCCTAATTCATGTTTTTATCAAATGTAAAATAAAAAAGTACTGTTTCCTCCTTCTTCCTTCAGCAGATTGGCGTACCACAAGATAGCGTTTTAAGCCCAATCTTCTATTCTCTATAAATCCCTGAATGTACATCAATACTATATTTCTATAAAAATCTAACTTTAGCCTATGTTGCCTTTCAGACATTCAAGAGTCACATAATATTAACAGAAATTAAAATTAATACAACTAAACAAGCCAAGTGAGTTTCTTTGTAGGAAAGCTTCATGGCTTTATAATTATTTATAATTCATGCCACCTATAATTATCGACAGCAACCCAGTGTCTACAAAAAATTGTGTACGGTACCTGATACTCTATTTAGACAAAATACTTATTTGAAATATACCTAGGAAATCAAAAAATACCATAACTGTCTAAACGATATAACCAATCAGGAGTGCCCATAAGTAAGTTTTTATGGCGCAAGTTTCGCCATCAAAATATTTGAGGTAGGCATATTTTAATGAGTTTTTGAATTTTTGAGGGAGGGGGAATTTCGAGGGAGTTATGAATTTTTGGACTAAGGAGAAAACATAGAACAGACTGCAGCAAGTGTGATTGTATATGATCTACGATTTCTTTAATGCTACTTTAGCTTCTTCTGTTTTCAAGAAAAGGTGAGTAATAAAATATCTTGGGATGTAGGTTCTTGCGCTATCGGCCTAGGGGGGAGGGAGGATGGACACCCCTGCCAACACTCACATCTTATGGACTATTAATCCTTAAAACAACAAGCTTAAATTAAAAAACAAGCGACTAATGTACAACAGAATTCTGAGACAATTTAGACATACTGAACAGAACTTCGGGATTCGGCAAAAAAAAATAAATAAATACACATGAATAAAATACAAATAACACAATCGAAAATTCTTTGAAAAATTGTTAAGGCACCATGGTACATTTGAAACGAACTATACATAACAAGTTATGTATATCCTAAATTTCAACAGGAAAATCCTACATCCACCTCAAATTCCTACATTCAACTCTTAAACCCAAAAACCCCTCAATCCTATTTCCATAAATTTCCTCTTCTACTATCTTCTCTATTCAGTTTTGAAATGATAATGGCCCAGAGCTCTGCTGCTATATCAAGCAATACCAAAGAAATTAATCAGTTACATAAAATTTGCTAAATGCGTTACTGTGCAGTTTAAAATTTATTTAAATAATAATATTAAAAACATGTTTATACATGGAATATGCCAAATGTATCTGTAAACATTTAGAAATATATGACCCTCCCATAGGTAATTATACAACGGGAAAAATTGAAAGGAAAGTCCTTTGTAACAATTTTTCTTATTTTTTATTGATTCAGGATATAGAGAGTTCATCTTCTAGTGAAATAAATTTACGCCAACGAAATAGAAGAATTACTAGACGAAACCTTGGACAGCTTCCTGTGCGGTTTCAATTGGCAACATTGCTGTGAATATGCACTGATAAGAGGCAAATTATATTTCTAAGAATAATGAACCAAGGTCAAATTTTACAAATAAAATGTAATATATTTTGTCAATTTGAAAAACAAATATTGATAAGTGTAATACATACGAGTACAATTGTACTTACTACATGTATTTAATTATTTATGAAGTTAAAAAAATATTTAACTAGATAAAAAGAAAAATTATTTATGTCAATACTAACCAGCGAAGACTATCAAATAAGCTCTCAAATGAGAGGGCCCATCTTCTTGCACAGTCTTCATTCCCGCCATGGTTTCGAACACTCTACTGCCACTAAACTGAGGACCAACTGCTATTTATCTACTCTTTCATATGTGATCAATAGAGTACTCAAGAAATTTCAACGAGACAATGCCATCACAAAATTTAATATTTGTTTTTCTGTGATGGGCTGCCAATATCGATTAGATAAATATGTATATAAATTCAATTATTTAGTACACTTTACTTTCACTTATTTTCAATAGTACAAACCATGACTTGAGAAAAAAAAAAGACAAAACTCATCAATGGCATTGTTTCAAACCGTTGCGAAACGATAATCATGTTGTTGGATAAGATTATGCAAAAGTGGAAAATCGCTAATTTTGTTGCTATGCTTTAAACGCTGATATGAGAAGAGAGGGAGGTTCAGGAACTTTTTATTCATTCCAATATTTTATGATGAGGGCCAGTCAATCTAATACTTAACTGTAATTTACTTAATAAAACCGTATTCCCACATATATTATTACAGTAAGGCCCGAAATCGGTTTTGTATCAAATATAAGCTCCTGTCATGCTTAAATACCATGAATGGCGTACCGTTGGCTTTTGTTTTTTATTCTAAAATAAATAAAGTCGATACAAACATTTTGCTAGGCTTCAATACTGGAAGGGTGGTAAGTCTGTAGATCGATACGGAACAATTGGGCATTGAAGATTTCGATGCGTACAGCAAGACCCTTCGGAACTATCAGGTCCTGCATTTTAAAGCCCAAAAACGTACTATTTTCGAAATAACGCGAGGCACAGGCTTCGTATCCTCACAACCTTACGTTAATTGTAGTACTGTCATCGAATAAATGTCTCATTTCGTCGACTTGATACCTCTATGATGGAGAGAGGAGGAGTTTATATTATTTATCGATGGTGTTTTTGATCGGCAAACCATATCATCGTTATTTCTTCACCAAATCCTAAGATTGAGCCAAAACAATTTTGAAGGCTTCCTTCTCCAGACGGGAAAAATAGTTCAATCACCATGAAAATTCAGGCAAACAAGTTATGAATGAAAATAATCTTTATTTGCGAATAACTACAAAATTATACGCTTTTCCCTGTTTTATGTCCACGATTATATTAAATACTACTAAATTCTCTACAAAAGGAAACAAAAATTATCGAAATCGGACAATTTTTAGCAAAGATACAGTTTATTGAAATTTGTAAACTGTTAGTTCCAACTAACATTAGTTTTAAATTAATTGTTGTTTCCTTTTTTCGATTATATTTATCGATAAAATAACAATTGATTTCTCTATCTTATGATACGTTGCATTATTTCTTTTCTTATTAATTTGGCATTTGATAACTTAACAATATGCTGTACGAAGTTTTCGCACGGGCCTACTAGTATATAGTAATAATTATATTACTAGCTAACCCATGGCTATATTCATCAGCGAACAAATGACAATATATGGAAATTGCGATGTTTTAGGGGAAACATTATTCGAGATGGATAATTATCCAGAAATAGTTAATAAAAAATAGTAAAAGAAATTTGAATATACATTATATTGATTAGTCCAGGATTAATTAATTGAATTTCTTTTCTCAAAGGCTGGTTTTGTTTGTTGTGCTTTCTAATTACCAAAATTATCTGTGATAATAATATTATAAATAGGAGACAGAAATAAAAATAACTTTGCTAAAATAACTTAATTTATTACTATGTTCAATAATATATATATATATATATATATATATATATATATATATATATATATATATATATATATATATATGTTATACAAATTATATCATCATAATATTTTCCCTCTGTACCGCTGCGCAGTGTGGGGATGTCCACTGTAGAGCTTGACCCATGTGTTCCTCTCCTGTACCAGCTCTGTCCTCCTGCTCCAGACCAGCCCTCGCATTCTGAACGCCTCCCGCACGCCTTCTTCCCAGCTGATCCGTGGTCTTCCTCTTGGTCTTCTACCGTCCACTCTCGTATCATACGTTATCCTAGCCGTTCTTTCCATGTTCATCCTTAGGAAGTGCCCGAACCATCGAAGTTTATTCTCTTCTAGAGTGGTTTCTATTAGAGGTGGGCGTTTCTGCTAATTTAGAAAAACGTAAATGAACTGTTCGTTGACAAAAAACAACAGTTCTTAAGAGCTGTTGAAAAAAATAGTTCATAGAACAATGCAACGATTCATAGTGTAAGACCTATTCGTTTGATAATAGTCTTATTCGTTTTAAAACGGATTCAACTCTTTTCATAACACGTCTGGAAATGAATGAAATGTTTTATGTATAAAGCTTGGCATGAGCCGAATGCTTAATCTTAAAAATTACTTTTTAACTAATTAAAACTAAAAATTATTTTTTATGCATAGAACACTTTTTATTTTAATAATATTTTAACTTTCTTGTATTAATCTGGTGGTTGCGATTTTGGACAAGTTCCTAAACTCTCAACGATGAGCTTATTGATGAAATCCTTTCGCCCAGCGTAAAGGTGGATCCGGTGCTATCGATGAGCTCAGCTCTGAGCTTAGGAATTTTTCCTTTTTCAAACAAATTTGTTATAAATATTTTGCCATATTTCTTTATCAAGTGTTGTTCTTAAATTGAAATTACGCTGCTTCGTCATTATAAATCTTTTAACTGTAGTTCAAAAATGTTTTCAACCTGTTTGCCTTTTTCAATTTTTATAGAACATAATAGTGTTTATAATTATGGATTAATGGTTGACTCCAGTGAATAATTGAAGAGAACAATTTTTTTTTTTTTTTTATTGATCACCCCAACCATTATTCTTCCCTTCAATAATAGTATTTAATTTTATTTATGCACTCAAATTGATTTACGTGAATATGTTCAATCATAAAAATTATTTTCGGTCTGCAAGACACTAATACAGATAGATACATCTCAAAACATAAACTAATTTTGCCTACAAATATGCTCAAGTTAATTTAGTAATGTAGTAACTATAATGAAAGTTTTTATTTATTCTTAGCCTTCATTAATAATGGGAGCTAAAAATCACATCTCTAAACATAACAATTGAATGAAACATGTATTATAAAAAAAACAGTTGGGTTATTTTCATGATGAACTGATAGGTTAGTTGTAAAACAGAAAGAGCTTCTGTTCCGTTTGGAAAGAACGAAATGATAAACAAATCAAACAGCAACTCGACTAGTGGCAAACGGGTGAACTATAAACAACAACTTTTTTTATCCGTTTGGAAGAACAGTTCATTCGTTTGAGATCAAGAACTGTTGTTTTCAAACGTTTGGTGTTTTCTCTCCCACCCCTAGTTTCTATCGGCTATACCTCAAGGTTTGATGTTATTGTCGTGTTGTGGATCCTATCTCTTCTGGTCTTTCCGTCAACCTTTCTTAGGTATCTCATCTCCATTGTCTTGATCTGCCCCTTGTGTTTTGAGGTAAGGGTCCATGATTCGGAGGAGTAAGAGAGGATGGACAGGAACGTTGACTTGTAGTGAGATGTCTTTGTTTTCTTCTCTTTTGTTGAGGAAACTTTTCCGGATTGAGTGGAACATTCTTCCAGCTGCTCCCAGCCTTTGCGACACCTCGCCATCGATATAGCCACTTTCGTTGATGCTTACACCCAGATATTTGAAATCCTGCACCTGTTCCAGGATCTGTCTTTTCAACCTCAATATTCTCATAACTCGGCGGGGACGTCTACCTATTCTCATGCATTTTGATTAATATCCATGTTAATGCTAGACAACTCTTCTTGCATGATATTTATGTTGTATTGTAGGACCCAGTCATCCGCAGCGAATATAACGAGGTCATCGGCAAAAGCGAGGACTCTATAAAAAATAAAAATACAGTTAAACGGAGCGATTTAAAGAGGTAAAACGATCAATAAATAAAATAACAACACGACAAATTAAAGAGAGATATAAAAAAATAATTACACGTGAACGGAGATTTTCAATGAGGTTACGAAAAACGAGAGACAATAAAAAATGCTCCAAAACAAATAAAAAAGAGAGAAAAGAAATAATTACACGTAAACGGACACTTAGAGAAATTTCGAAAACGAGAGGTAAATAAAAACAGTTTCCCAAAACGAAAAACAATTTTACTCGAAAACAAAAATTTTGAGGAATAAAAAACCGGAGGACCAAAATAAGCGCTAATATATCCGGCCCGGATTGGACCAAAAGATGTTGACCCAATGTTGGAGATATTGGACCAAAAATCCGCTACGAGCAGGGTTATGGGTGATGTATTTTCGCTTCCACAATTGTCAGAAATTAGCATCCCACATTTTTCCGGAGATATCGCGAACTGGCAAGATTTTAAAGAAACGTTTAAATCTTTGGTACACGAGAGGGACGATTTGGATAACATCCAAAAATTCCACTATTTAAAAACAGCGTTGAAAGGTTCGGCATTACAAGCTATTTCCGCGATTTCTATATCCCCTTGAGGGTATATCCAATTGAAACTGGAACTGTAACAGTAACTACAACTATACATATAACTGTATCTGTAACGGTAACGATTACTGTATCAATAACGATTACTGTTACAGGTAACTTATAACTGGTTACTGGCTACTGGCTACAGGTTACTTGCTACTGGCTACTGGCTACTGGCTATTGGCTACTAGCTATTGGCTATTGGCTACTGGTAACTTATAACTGGTTACTGGCAACTGGCTACTGGCTATTGGCTACAGGTTACTTGCAACTGGCTACTGGCTACTGGCTATTAGCTACTGGTTATTGGCTACTGGCTACTGGTTACTGGCTAGTGGCAACTTGCTACTGGCTACTGGTTGCTGGCTACTGGCTACTGGCTACTGGTTGCTGGCTACTGGCTACTGGCTACTAGCTAGTCGCTACTGGCTACTGGCTAGTGGCAACTTGCTACTGGCTACTGGGTAGTGGCAACTGGCTACTAGCTACTGGTTGCTGGCTACTGGCTACTGGCTAGTCCCTACTGGCTACTAGCTACTGGTTACTGGAATTGAACTGGAACTGTAACAGCAA